CCCTCCCCCCGCCGCATCCCCCCGGCCCGCTGCCTCTCCCTCCCTTTTGACCTTGTGCTCACCGTCAGGCTGAGGCATCGCCCACAGTGGGTGCTCCTAAATTCCCCGAAGGTCTGCTTGACTGCGCTTGTCGTGTAGAAGCCTTCAGCCAGCAGCAGGATACCATAGAGGAAGAAAAATGAGGCCAGGCCGTAGATGACGTACTGGAAGTATTCAACACTGCACGGGGGGAGAAAAGGTCAGTCAGGCGGGAAGTCGAGACGAATTCAAAAAGGAACGGTGGAAAATAGACTTACAAGGAAGCCACGACCTCATAGTCCTGCTCATTACGGGCGAAGTAAGTCTCGACCAGGACTTCGGTCTGGGTTAAGGCTTCGTGCCCGCAGCCACAAAATAGAGCCATGCCTGCATAGCACAGCAAGGTGGCCACCAGAGATGGGTAGGGCACTGCCCCCAAGCACCGGATACAGCAATCATAACAACCTGAGGGGGCATAATATATCAGCGCACAGGCCGCACATACCGCACACAGAACCACACAGCACATCTAAGCCTGGGTGGAGAACTCTTTCACTCTGCGGGAGAGCTCGCCCGCCAATTCATCAGCATACACCGGGAGAGAAAGAAAAAGACAGCTGCAACCAACAAGCAGGCGATCAAACGCAAAAAAATGCGCTGCTTATTTCAAGAACACCGAGTGCATTCTCCCCAGCATAAGCAGCTGAAGCAGGTAGCAAACACCCACAGAGTTAATAAATAAAAGCAGTGGCAGAAATGGGATTGAGGAAACCACCTAAGGCTTTGCAAAGCCAAGGCTGCCTGACCGGAAACATGTTGCTTCTGATCCTGTATTCCACAACAAGAAAGATCCCAAGAGGCAAACTTCAGTCTGCCTACAAGCTACGACAAAACAAACGCTCCCTGTGCCGATTTCATCTGCAATGTGAACGCTCATCCGCTTGTATCGACACCTTGACGATTGTACACAAGCTGGTCCGGCCCTCCTTCTGTGGCAGTCACAGGCGTCGCCAGGCTAAAGGGAGATGGTGGCGGAGCTCTGACTTCACAGGCTTGAAGAGAGAGCGTCTCATTGTGGCCAAACATAAGGTAGCCATTGTCATTGGCGTGAGACAAAGGGCAGTGATGTTAAGCAAACAAAGATCTCAGAACCACCCATGCTGTCGTAGAAGTGGCCGAGTGGGGTCAGCTGGTCACCATTAGCAATGTCAGCCCATACTCCCTTCAGCTACTGCTGGCTCCCAATGGTACCACGGAATTCGGTGTCAGGTCCGACGGAGATGGAAGTGGTTGCAAAGTTGCAAACATCAATTTTACACAGTGAAGCATTTAATTGTTTGACCAAACAACTTTTAGTGGGAAGTAACCAGGCTGCTAAATATAAATAGTTGCAGCAAGAAGACCGCCGGGGATGCGGTAATGATAATGCCTGGAGACGCCCACGCTTCAGATCTGACGAGTGGCGAGAAGCAGTTTATTCCGCTTTCAAGGGCATCGATGCATTTAGTTGATGCCAGCTAATCAATACGAAACCTCAAAACTGAACACAAATTGGTGGGGATGCTGTTCGTAAGTGGAGAAGAAAACTGTGATCAAAGGATGGAGAATTACGGTATGCCTCATGGCAGTTTAAACTACAACATCAGGACTCTTGCTTCACTAAAAAGTGCGTGAAACGACAGTATCGACTCTCTATATAACAGGTAATCTACCAACGGTGAAAGTCATATGAAGGGAAAAGTAAAAATAGAAATACCGTTTCGTCTTCAAATGCATGAATGCAAAATAGGGTCACAAATTACAATTTAAAAGCAATATTATTCCATTTACAAAATCCCCCAAATGGCTTTAATAAGAGGTGAAAAGAAAGAAGTTATTAAACATTCCGGGCACTCACCCATGTCCAGAAAGAAGTTGGGAGGTTATTGAAGTTGCTGCTGCGCGGCTTCCCAACTCTGATATGAGGATATGAGAAGTTATTCCCCGCCACTCCTATATGAATCTGACTCGCGCTTTTGTCTCATCAACAATAGATGGACCACATCACCCCAAGTGACATCTTAAAGTCACAAAGTCCCATTTCAGCTGCCAGACATTATTTATAGAGCCGTGGGTTCAGCATCGGTGACAGGCAGGTCACACGTTTCACTGTATGCTTTTTGTTTTCTTCATTGGACTTTTGTGTTATTTATTCTTTTGCTTCTATTCAGGTAAAGAAATGAGTGGTGTGGCTGGCTTGATTAACTGGCCAAATTCTTATGACAAGAAATATATAAAACCTATTTATATATATTGTAAAAAAGAAAAAAAAGCTCCCTTTTGAGTGACACAATCACGGAGGCATTCATGTAAGAATATCTTTATTATTGTAATTGCAGTTGCACGCAGAACTGCTCTAAATCAGAATGAGAGCCGTTTATATTTTGATATGTGGCTACATGGGAGTCAAAATATTAGGTACAGCTCTGATTATGATGCAGTGTGAGCCTTGACAAATGATAACAAGGATTAAAAAAAAACATTCAATTTAATTTGATATAAATATCATATTTGTCGATAGAGCTATTGTATTGGATCTAATAATGTCCTGCGAGTGTCAAGTGTTGTATTAATAGATGTGTTAAACATACTTTTCCCAACAATAACAATAGCATCAGGTTGAATGCGATAAAGTGGAATACGCATGAGCTTAGTTCGCGGCCAAAATACTTGCGTTTAATTTCAAAAGAGAAAACGAGTTTGATTTTCTTTCATTTAAACGCCGTGGTAATAAAAAGCTAAGGCATGGATTTCATTTGCATCTAAATTCACTTTCGGTACCAGTAGACTTGTCGAAACTAAACAGCGATCAGAGGCGTGCACGTGAAAAGGTAGCAAAACAAATCGAAATTCCAGTGACGGACGTTGATGAAGTTGTCTAACAAGGGTGACATTGACAGTCAGGTCGAGCTGCTGCCTGCTTTCCCTCCCTCCCTCATTTGACCCAGTTGATGTCAAAGCTGGGTTCAGTACAAAGGGGCCAGTGTGGAATTGGACAGAACACTGTGCTATGCTCCCTTTTTAGGGGGGAATAAGATCCTCGTCTAATTTTTCCATGCCCTGCCCTTTGAAGCACATAGCTGAAATCTCTTCCTCTATTTTGATACTATTTAGACCGGCACACCACTGGTCATTGCTAAAAGAAGACTTTGTGAGGAAGCTCTTATCATCAAGTGTCGGTATTGCACCATCGCAACGTCTCGGCGACTGATTTGTTTTCCAACAAAATGGTACTCCTCAATGATAGTTTGGATTGTTTGGCGTGGCTTTACAGTCTGTTGCCTTTTGCGCTAACAGCAATAACATATCGAGGATAGTAATTAGCGTCTGGAAAGGATTAATGGCACTGCCATTATTGAGCTGAAGGAGAAGAGTGGATGAGGACCGACATCTTTGAAATCTCTCGGGAAAAGCGTGTTAGGCAGGAAGAGAACCGAGAAGTGTTAATTCACTGAAAGCAGTGGATGAGAACGCATACAAGGCCTGTCAGCTTTTGGGACACATGGTTACGTTATTCCTGTTGACGTTAAAAAAATAAAATAAAGAATAGGGAGGAATCTTCAGTGGCTCGCAGGAGAAATAGAGAGAGATTCCTTAATGTAAGTCTAAATGGGAGGGTGGAGGGGGGAGCAGATGCTGAATAGGGGTGTGAGCGGCTCACATTATGAATTATCATGTCACTTAAACACTGCCTTAAAGTCATTAGTCAGTGCTTAGATGGATACTGAACGAGCTCATTTGTCATCCTGCTTACAAACGCTATTAGATTGAATCACCTGTGTATCGTGGCCACCATCAGCACCATGGACAGCCATAACCCATGCAAATGAGAATTCTTTTGCCTTATCTGGATTGTATAGACGTGGCATGTGATAAAATGGTTTTGCACCGGACACGCTTCCATACGTGTGTTTATACAGAGAGAGGCGGTGCTGTAATAATATTTGCGCCTCCTCTTATCTCTGCTGCGGTAATCCGTGCTGGGAAAACAAACAAGCTGCCATGAAACAAACTGGCAAGCATTTTGGAGGGCACGCAAAAAAAAAAAAACGCGCGCACCCGGGGGAGGTGTCAGAAGTGAATTCAGTGGCCGATGACCTCCCGTGGTGGAGTATTTAGTTTTCCGCTTAATGAAACAAGTGCTTGATTTATCCGGTTTTATCTAATCACGCTGTATGGTCTTTCATGCTAACAAGTGGGGAAAGGTCACAAGGGGGATGTTAAGGATTGACAGCAAAGGAAGAATGGGAATAGGCAGCCCCTAGTGTTAAAATTTACAGGAACGTGGCAGAGGAATAGCAATGCAATGCCGCTTGGGTGGTTTCTCAATGACAGGTTTACGGTATAAAATAAACATGTCTGTCAATTTAGCTTTAGATTTAAGCATGTTTGTTCGTATGCCAGGCATTCTCAAAGTGTTGTATGAGGACCACTAGTGCTGTGCTAGCTCTCTCTGTGGAACGTAAAATAATCAATGAGTTAAATACAAACACAATTTGAAACAAATCTGTGGAGTTCAGTTGAATTTAAAAAGAGCACAGTACATTTGCGGTTGAAGATGTTCTTCTTTCATCTCTCCATTTTGAATTTAACTGATCTGCAATACATTTTAATTGAGTCATTAGGTCAGTACACATTTTTCAGTTCTTAACTTTAAATGCAGTGTCTTTGTTCAAATAGGGATAGTGTTATGGTGAATAATGCTAAATCTACTTAACACTTGAAAAAAAAAAAAAAAGAAGCTTACCAGGAATTTCTGGTAAACTTTAGATTACTTCACCTTGATTATTAATTACCATTAAAACCATTCTGGACTCAACAAGACTACCGGTAGTTGGAAAAAATTGTTTAATAGGTTAAACCACATTATGACTGGTGGCAAGAACTAAAATCTTAAAGTCCATCATGTCCTTCAGAAAACAAGACAACCAAGCGTAGAAGTCGGTATGTCCAAGGTCCCAAACCACCAAAAGGATCAGTGACTTGTGGCTTTGATGAAACTACCGGTACATTTTAAATGCCATAAGTCGCTTTGTAATACGTACACTTACAATGTGATTACAGGTATCTCTTTGAAGAGTTTAGAATATGAATAAAGAAATAGCAATCAAATGTTATTCTGTACAAACAAGCAAAGCCAAAAAGAATTGAGAGTTTGTTAGAGTACGAAAACACATTTCAAGCCTAAAGTTTTCTCTAGTGAAGCAGAGGTTATATTCGTACAATGTATTAAGCAAAAATAACTCAGACTTAAAAACTTGAAAGGAAAAAAGGAGCAAGGATACTGAAATATACTACGATAAATTACACAACACTATATATGCAAAACATTTCTTTTGATAAGAATGCCTAATTTACAATTTTTTTTTAATTTTTTTTTTTTTTTTTGCTGAGACACCTCCTCACCAACCTAACTAATGTGTGAAGGTGCGTTAGTAGAAATTGTCAGGTATTTTGGAGACACTCATACGGACCTGTATTGGAGTCCATTTTCAATTGAATTACGTTAAGCTGCTGGAAACGAACGGCGGTAAAAATACATCTTCATAAGAAGCAATGAGAAATATGTATAAAATATCAATAATAGCAATACTGCTGTTTTCTGCTTCTTCAACATCTCATCTCCATCTGCGATGAGTTGTGACGCCCCATAGCTCCATGAGATCAAAATAGATACTAAGAAAGAGCTTCCCATACAAATCCAACTGTAAAAACATGATTGTTAGTTCTTTCAAGGGGAAATTCCCAAAAAGCCGTGGTGTAAAATGACAATTTTTTGTTTGTTTCTTTTGCGTGTCATTGCGGAAAAACGAGCGTGAAAATGACTGCTCTTAAGACTTCCTGTTATGACAGAGCAAAGGCAGAAAGCTGAAGCTTGCTTGGAAAGAAAAAATAAAAATAAAACCCCAAACATATTCAATCCTATTTTATCTAAACATCCTAAATACAGCTTTACATGGACGTGTCTTGAAGCGTACCACAGGTCTGGACTGCGGCCAAGTTATACACGTGTGGTGGAGTGAGTGCTGGGCAGGCCTGCGGAGCTGTAGCCGGCGGGGAAGGTGCTGTACGGACTCATGTTGGAGAGACCCATCAGCGAGTTGGGGATCATGGTGATGTTGTTGGGCGTCATCAGCGGGATGTCGTCGGGAGAGCGGCGCTGGTTTAGGGTGTAGTCCATGGTGGGAGACACGTGAATGGGATTGTGGAGGGCCTCGCACTGGTTCCTGGACAGGGTCTCGTCCACAGTGGCGGCGTGGCTAACGTTGCCTTTGCTGTCGCGTTGAGGACTGGGCTGCTGCGAGGTTTCCTGCCGGCTGCGTTTGTCTTTGCGGTAGTAGAGAGCGGCGAAGGCCAGCACGTTGAGGAAGAGCAGAGAAGCCCCCACGGCGATGGTGACGCTGAGTTCCGTGGAGTAATCTCTGGGGTTGGGCATGATCAGAGGACCCATTTCTCTCCCGCTTTCATCGCCGTTGAGGCCCGTGGACACGGGGGGCCGGCCGGTGCCTCCGGATCGCTTGCCGGCGGATTGGGTGGGATCCAGCGGTGTGACCTTGGTGGTGGTGGAGGAGTAATGGAACATGTCGTGGAGGTTGTAGAGATGGGGCACGAGGTGCTTCCAAAAGGCCACCTTGGTGGCGCGGTAGTGATCACGGATGCGAGGCTTGAGGCCAATGTGTAGGTAGAGCTGGTCGTAGGGGTCATACTTGGACCAGGCCACCTCCTCAAAGCGGTTGGCTTTGGTGTGGATGAACTTTGTATCCTGCGGTACGGGTTTGTTGGGATCCCTGAGGAAAAAAAACATTGGCACAAAGTCAACAAAGGTGAGCAAGTACAATGTGTCATTTTATATCTAAGAAATGAGGGAACCGCCGAGTCGAACCAAAATTGAGGAAAAATATGCGTCAAAAGATAAAACAAGACTCTACAGTGTCATCATGAGTGACAGTAAAAAATAATGAGAGTGACTATTTAATAATAATAAATTCTAAAATAAAAAATTATTCATCTCCAGTGACAAGGCTGACATTTTACTTAACACCTGGCCCAAAAGGATCATGACTCTATATTTATGGCCAAACGTATTAGACATACCTATAAATGAGTTGGTTAATCCGTCGTGGCTCAAGATAGACCCCGTTGTTCCCTTTACAAAATTAAGTCTTGATCGTACCAAGACATTCTGCACAAATGAATTCTTTTCCATGTTGTTAGACGTGTTTGGCGAGGCCATTTCCCATTCCGGCTTTGGCAAAATCCTCCAAATGATTGATCATTGCATTTGTACCTTGTTACATTGAAGGTGTGCGGTCACTGTTAAAGGGTGGTTAATGAAGATTTAAGAGTTTAATGGAAGCAAATCAACATGGTGGACTTTTGGAAAATGATATGCCTCTGCAATTATAAAACATTATACGTTAATTACAACCTTATAATAATCTTTTTGTTTCAGTGCAGTGTATGACCTCGCTTAAGGACAAAACGGCAGACATACTCATTAGACAGGACAGTCATACCTCGGTTTTCGACCATAATCCGTTCCAGAAAGCTGTTCGAAAACCGATTTGTTCGAAAAGTGAAACACGCTCTTTTTAAAAAACAATCACAATGGAACGCGACACGACGAAGCGTCACTTCCTCGTGTAAGGAAGGCGAGAGGAGTCAAGTGGCGCATTCAAGTGTGCTCAGTTTGGTTGAGAACCGATTTTCGGTCGTAATACGAGGCATAAAAAACTCGAAATTTTTGGTCGAAAACCGATTTGGTCGAGAACAGAGACGTTGGAAAACCGAGGTTTGACTGTATTTGACTTGTCTCCGCCAGATGCATTTATTAAATTATATCCCCTTCTAAGAATTTTTTTTTTCCCTTTGACATGATATTGAAGATCCTGGGGCACCATAAATCACAACCGAAGCACTTTTTGTACATCCATTTTGATCTTGCAGGATCAGTGTTGGCATAATCAAAACAAGCAGAAAGTGGCAAAGTAGGATCGGGATTGTGTAACATCACCGCCTCTACTCAAGGGCTCAGCATTCCCTTGATGCTCCACACCTACACATTAGCCTACCTGCTCTATTTGCTTAAGTATGCGAATGGTAAATGTATTACATCACTCCAATCGTATTCGTATGGGCACACACTCACATACTGTCGTATCGGATGTGATACGTATTGATCAAATCAAACGAGAAGGATATTTGATTTCTCGCGTTAAAATAATTGACAGTAATTGATATCAAATGGTGCGGCACTACCGAGCCACATTTCATGTGCTGGTGCTGCTTGGGAACCGACAAGGAAAAAAGGGAGCTAAGGCTTCAAGAAATGACAGTGAGAGTTAAGACTGGGCTTAATTAGGCGCACTATTTCCTGGCCAATGCTACAGTCTTTTAATCAGGGTGATGAAGTAGCGCGAGTTAAAAAGGTCGAAAGTCTTCAAATAAATAAGAGGTGCACATTCGAAATCAGGCAATTCAGAAGCCCCGGAGTCTGAAGTGAAATTGCGGCGAGATGACTTTTGCTGTTGAGACACATGAAGGCCTTTTGCTGTGACTCACCCGCTCTTGGCAAAATTGGTCCAATACGTCATAACCACGGCGCTGAGCATGATGTCATTCCTGGAGAAGTTGCAGGGAAACAGGTCAGTCGGGCCGACCATGGGGATGCCGAAGACGTAGGGCACCTCGTCGCCGTGGGCCGAGTCCGACCAAACGGGCTTCATGAGGCTCTGGCAGTGGTGATAGAAGGCATAGAAGTAGGTTGGCGAGCCGTAGCGGGCGTGCAGGTCGGCCGTCACCACCGAGGGTTCCACCCATTGGTGGTCCGTGAACAGAGCCACCAGAGTCTTCCGCCTGGTTTCCGGATTGTCCTTATCGGCCCAGTCTGTGTACATGAACTTAATTGTCTCCCTCAGCGTGTCCTTCCCTTCCGGGTAGCCATACAAACTGTCCACAAAGTCGGATACGACAAAGTCAAAGTCGCTTCCGGACACGCCGTCCTCCAAGTCCATCACGTTCTCCACAAAACGCAGACCCTCACCCTGATTGACACCGAGCATGATGTCATAGTTGAGGAACTCGCCTTGCTCCATCAGTATCTCGGGGTCGTCGGGGATGACGTCCCCATCGATTACCGGCCCAAAAGCCACGCGGTACTGGGCGGGTTGGATGTCTTGCTCCACCAGCTCCTTTGCGGTCTTCTTCTGCAGGCAGGAGACCATGTCCACGGTGTCCAACACATTGCAGCCCACCCTCTCCGCCAGCATGCGAGTGTACTTGACCGGCTGGTAGTTGACAGCCCAGCTGGAGAGCGCGGAACCGCTTTGTATGATGGCTCTATGGAATAAACCTGGGAACGCGGAAGAAAAGACACAAGAGATGCCAAAGGAACAGTGATTAGTGCTTTCAATCTAATCTGTATGCGCCGCATTATCATTTGACACAAACTGTAAGGACACTGTGTCCTTACTGATTTAAAGTAATTGGTATTCGCGGTTAGCGTCTATATGAAAGGCTTGGAACTGAACAAAATATAATTACACTCCCTGTCATGAACATTGAATATTAGTCTGGAATATACCGCACAGCTGGGCCTCGCTGATAGGAAGCTGCAAGTAGAAATGAATTGATAAAGAAGAACGATCGCCCCGTCATGTTCATTTTAATGATGTAAATAATAATACATCACTCTTTCGATCCCCTGTGTTTGATTCATGCGCTGTCACCGTTGTGGGCAGTAATGATCAGTTGGCAAAGTTGTTTCAAGCGCCGCCGCGGCGAGTTTCCCCTTCATCGGTTATTCACAGATGTACCGTGGCATCAAAAATCTTTTGATTGTGTGCCGCTAACAAGACGCCCGCTGCCCACTGCGCGACGAGAGAGAATTTCGTGTTGATATTGATAAATACAGAGGCTGCTTTGTTGTATCTTTACATGCAGAGCCGAGCCTCCATCCGGAGGTCCGAATTTGGCACCTAAATATGACCGGCGATCGGGAACAAGTCACAAAAGCCTTGCTAAGGTGAGGTCACACGAGTCGCTGGAAGAACACCTCTGGCAACACCGTCGCTTTTTTCTCTCTGCTCCTGTCATTTATTTCCATTTTTTTTTTTTTTGGCCACTGGCTATCACGTATGCTTCAAAGAGCTCCAGAGGCCCGTGTGCGTCTGCTGCAGTCCAACTAGGTCATCAAATGGAAACCTCACAAAGCACAGTTGCACTTGCCGCAGCCTCCGTGGACGGCATTGATGAAAACACCATTCCGGACCCTCTTGTGATTCTGGTCGGCTTCAACGCGAGGAAAGGCAGCTCCCAGGAGGCAACAAGTACTGAAATACACTACTTTGATTCGATCGAGCAGATTTGAATAAGTGCGCACCGAATATTTTAAAGCTACTTATTATCATAATCTGAGATCACATCATTTTCCTGTGGCTGCGCCGGTGATTTCCTACGCTTAGTAACAAGAATAAAGCCATAATGCTGAATATTATTGACATCTAAAATTAGCTGGCTGTGATTACAGCAGCACTTGTACTGTTTAGGAGAGGCTTTGAGATTTCAAAAGGCTTTGAGATTCTAATCAATATAACTCAGAGCTCAGATGTGGAAACTGACTGTTCGTCAGAAATACGAACCACATACTACAACGTCCCATCAGAGCTAATTTCATCCCAATGCTATTTCGCACACACTAGAGGGAATATTTAAAAGGCAGTGGCATGCGGTCAGGGCCTTGAAGACCTTCTCTGCTGGCTTCGAGACGATCAGAAGCACAGACCTTCATTTACAATTTAGATGGAACAGTGCTAATTTATTTCCAACAGCCTACTAATACCGAGGGTATTAGTCAATACCCCGTGGCATTCGGCGGGGGGAGGGGAAGATTTGTTTTTAGCATTGAGCTCACGTTTTCCCAATACGTTCAAACTTCTTCACCAAATGCGTTCGAACGACGCGTGTCAATACGTTTGAATGACTTGACAAACTTTTTCGAACAACATAGCCCGGTCTTAAATATTTACCCCACATTGGCAATTTCATGCCACACATACAGTAGTTGTATTGTGTTTTTGTCTGTTTTGCTACGCGACAATAGTGGTATTAAGAGAGGGATTAGATCACTTGAGTCCCCAATGAAGGCCCACGTCCCAAAATGCACCGCCCACCGCTGTTCAAAGGTATCTGTGGATGATATGCTGTGATGTATTAACAAGCATTAAAGCTCTTAAATAAATATCGCTTGACTGCTGGATTTGAATTAGCGCTAAAAAAAGAAATGAAGTCAGTAGAGTGAATCGACAGATATCAACATCATTCATGCCCATGAATGTTATTTTTAAAATAGTATTTTATTTTAAATTTAATACAATATTCCAAATCTATTGTAAAAGGCATCGTCTACCTTCTGAGTGGTGGGATAGTGTCAGTAGGCTCACGCAGGAAGCTCCGATTCCAGATCCAAAAACGGTGATACGACCCGGGTCCCCTCCAAAGTAGTTGATGTTCTTACTGATCCAACGTAGGGCTTGGATTTGATCGAGGAGTCCGTAATTTCCTTTTGCGGCCTGGTCTCCAGTACTAAGGAAGCCTGGACACAGAATGCAACCAGTCATAGGCAGTGGGGCCATCCAAAGGAAATGAGAGCATTTCTCCTCTGGTACAAATACGGAATGCTGTGCCTTGATCATTGTAGTCAGCTACACAATAGTTGCCGAAGGCCGCTACTGCATCAGGGGGCGCCCACCAAATCTGAACGTTGTCTTTGCAGAGTGACTTCATCAATTTCGACGTGCATGAATAAATAAATCCTTTTACCGGGGCTTGTCCCTTTGAATTCACAAAACCACACAGAGGTCGCCAGTGTTGAGAATTGATCCCGTTACATACTTATTCCCTGGTCCGGTTGTGCAACAACTCGTCGCTTCTGAATGCTAAACAGGAGGACACAGAATTCTCTCGACCTTGTGAGTTCTTGGGAATACCTCAATGGTTAGTCTTACAAACGTGTACCAATTAAACACATCTCCATCTGGGGGGTTGGGGGGAGGGGGTGTCACACATGTGAAACAATGTGCATACAATTACATGCGTTGTAATTACTCTGAAGACATTTGTATGCCAATCGATTTGGAAGATTTTTTTTTTAACCCCTTTACATTTTTCTTGGGCGATTTAAGTGGAACTTAATTTGCAATGTCTTCTCCCTCTAAACAAACTAATTGGCCATATGAAACAGCATTCGAAGGTTAAATGTTTTCATCACCTAATATTCCAATTCTGTAGTTGAGCGTGACAACAACAACGTTCCCATAGCTGGCCAGCACGCTGCCATCCATCATGTTCCCGGTGCCTTCCATATAGGAGCCTCCGTGGATGTACACCATCACAGGTCGAGCTTCCGAGTCCCTTATATCTGCAATGTCAACACAAACACACACACACACACACACACACACACACGATGAAGCACACAAAAGTGCAAGCAACAGTAATGCAAAATAAGATTAACAGAGCCTCATTAAAACCCGTGTTACAGCTGTATGAGGAATGGTTACAGACTGAAGAGAGAAGGTGCTTCGAAGCAAGCCGACGTGGCAGATTTATGGTTTGGAAGCTGCGATGACAATTAAAAAAAAAAAAAAAAACATGGTAAATGCACTCGAAGGATGAGTATGAATTAAATTCTCTGCAGCTTCTACAGTAATTATAGCGTTCTAACATATATGGGCACTGATGTTATTTACAGGGTGCGGAGCTCTGTGGTAGCCGATAGTGGCCACTCTCCAGCCACATTCATATCAAGGGGAAGATATTGATAAATGTGATTCTGTGGTGCAGATTACTTACCCTACGTAAACATGCAACTCGACTGAACATTTTGTCGACATTCACGAAGCCACACTGCCATTAATGTGGTGCGTTGAGCACATATGAAATCAGCAGGTATTATTTGAACCCAAGAGGCAACGAAATAAAAGATGAGACATCCAAGAGAAAGAAAACAACAAAAATACCTTCTGATATATGAGTCTCAGCGTGAGAAAAAGATGCCCCCTTTTTCTTGTGTTGGCTCCCTGTAATTCATATGAAGACAAAAAAAAAGGAATTTAGATGCTGTTTTCATTCAGCGCTTTGCTCCTTATTCGATATGCCGTCCAGTCAAGCAAACAGAATGGAGACAAAAAAAAAATCCTTTTTGGCACAAAGGCCATCCGCCCTTTTCTCTGTAATTTTCCACACAAAATGAGATGCTATAATTATGTAAACTCCAGTGATGTATATACATGTTTGCAATGTTAATTCCGGTTTAAATAATGGGAAAAGGAAGTGAGCATGCGGGTTGGTGTGAGGGAGTGAGAATTTGCATGGGGCATTGTGTGTGAAAATGCATGCATCCAAGAACGTTACATGCTCCCTCGCCACAATACAAGGTAAACATTCTCACGAGTTTCAAAAAGAAGGGCTGCCTCAAAGATTCTGCATTTCCGAACGCAGTTTGATTAACGTGAGCAGAGAGATGCTAATTTGCTGCTTCTTATTGTGGTTGGAAGTAGTTTGCAGTCATGTGTCCGAGTGTCATTTATGCTGCTTGATTCCATCATTCCCAACCACCGTGGCTGTCAATCAGACAACTCTGATACTTTTGCGGGGGATGAGGAAAAAAAAAAAGGCAAATAATCTGGTCACACCTGAGGGCATTTTAAGCATACCATGAATACAAATGAGGTGGCGGTATGTGGTGTGTTTTGTTGAAACGTCGTATTACGCAAATATGCTTTGGAGTGTTTTCATTAAGTAGTTCATAGGTGAGGAGACCTTTAGCCAGCGCTCAGACTGGGGGCCTCATTAAATGTGGGATGCACCATTTTGGATGGCTACCTGTCAAACAGGCTGTTTGTGTGCTGTTGCTAGGCTACTGTAGCTCAGCCGCACGAAGAGAGCCATCTTCCATCAGCCAAATGGAGGGAACGCTGGCTTTTTTTTGTATTGTTAGACACAAACTGAAGCAGCTCGAATAAGCTACGCATGTTTGGAAACACTAGAATATCCATCCAGCCATCTTCTATCCCCATTAAGGTAGGCCTACTGATTTGTAGGTGCACAGTAGATGTGCAAAATGTTCCCTCACTGCCTTATTTCACATCTCCCACTACAGTCAATGCTAAACCGGGACAGACTCGGCAACAGACAGAAGTTGACTTTTTGTACCTCACTAATTGCCCCCCAGAAGACACGCTGTCAGAACAACGATGGTGTTCCAGAAAATACAAGAAAAAAAACATTGAATCTAAGGTACGGGTAAATGCAAGTTTTAGAGGAAAAACCCTGAGTAAAGTTCCTTCTTATTTTTCTTTCCAAGTTGATTGAAAGTGTTTTTACTGCCCAGCCATGACACCTGCGCAATCAAATTTGATTCCAATACAAGAGCTGCGTAAAAATTCAGAGCCAAGGTATTCATTTCACGACGTGTTTACAATTTGGACTGCAGTTTGTGGTTGTGTAGAACTGCACCGCATCTGACTAACAAGTAATGTTTTGCATAAATACCTCAACTCAGTCACATTCAAGTGAAAATAGTAGACACAGCTGTCAATATGACGCGGTTCAAATATAGACCAATTAATAACTACAACCACGACAATAAATGTTGGTCCCTTTGGTGTCCTCATCAGAAACATTCACTCAGAGGGAAATTTGGAGGTCTTATTTTAAAATCCAGATGAGTCGATTGTGTGCTGCCACTTGACGAAATACATTTGAGTAAATTCAACACACCGCCTTTTTTTCAGTGTCTAAGGAGAAATCTTTTAAAATGTGCTTCATTTTATAACATTTCCCGCCGCACTGGATGCTTGTGATTTTTGCATATGTCGCACACAATGCTTGTGCTAACTACAGTATATTATTATAAAACAATTCAATTTGATCATCTATTTTCAATTTTCAGGATCATATTGAACATTGTTACCGGTGTCCCAGCAATTGCTGTCCACCCTTTCCTTGGGTAAATCCCTCTTTTGGAAATAATCTGATGTTTCAAGTGAAATTATAACCAGCATTTTTTTTCTTTCTTCAGTGGAGGATGAAACAATGGATAGTTGCAAAATATATATTCATTTTTAAGTTCATAAGATTAGTCAAAAATGCCCACGCTGTCAGCAACATATTTTTCTCTTTGCATGTACTGAACATCGTTTGCTTCCAATTACTTTACAAAATGTGAAAAATTGAACCAACATGCGCAACGTCTACTCAACACGGAATTCAATGGAAACTCAACTGTTTAGGGCGTGAGATGAGGTTTCAAAGGCACCTTATGATGACACTGCCTCTGTTATCTTTGTAAATGCTGATTTTATGATAAAGCTCTTGCATCGGCTCTTCGGAGATTGTGCAAGTAGAAATACTGTTGGAGAATGCCCACTAGGCATTATTGTAGTCATCCATCTTTGTAAAGGCAGACATTTTGAACTCCTGTATTGGATTTCCTCAGACTGTGCAACTGGTCATAATATTGTTGCCGGTGAGTATGTGCTTCGGCTCATTGAAAATTCTGCACAGTTTAATCAGACGAATACCTGAACCTTACCTCACCTCAGTAATGTTTCACTCAACGTTTCCTAGAGGGAAAGTATTCATAAACTTAAGTGTATTCATGTTTCTTAATGCTTCTTGCGGCTCCATGCAAACGCTTGCCATGGGCAAAATACATTTCCAGTTCGAATGAGTTTCATGATTTGATCAATCGAAAGTCCCAATGACCTGGTAGGACAATGATTACATGGCTTTGGCTGTGCGCACATCCACGATGACATCAAAGCCACACAAGCTGTGATCAATGGACGTCATTCGGCACGTCCGCCCACTCACCTTCCTCTGTCGGAGCGTAGATGTTGAGATATAAACAGTCCTCGCTCTGATCCTGGATGTATGAGGCCACCGTGTCCAGGTTGTAGGTGAACCAAATAGGCATCATTATCTCTGGCACAGTGCTGTGGATGTTCTGAGGGCACACGGGCATGAAGTGGGTGGCATTCTTGATACCCGACCAAGCGGATGGCTGATCCGGGGGCATGAAACGCTTGTCTCCCACTGGCGGGGCGGCGTAGGGCACCCCTAGATACTGGTCGACGGGCCTGAGCACCTCGCTGGGCACGGGGACCCTGAGGCCTCGCAGCTTCCCGAACTGGGTGGTCACTGTGGGGTAGAACTTTTGGCTTGTGGCCTTGGTAAATGACCAGCAGGAGCATAATATCCACCAGAGCAGAGCACAGTGGGTAATGGTTACCGTCCCTTGCTGGTGGAGCAGGTGCGCAGGCAGCAGATGGTCTTTAAATGTAGCAAGCCACATGGTTTGTATCCTCGCACAACACGGATGCACACTGTAGTGTCGGCTCGGGCCCCTTTGCACTGAACTTGTCACACAGACATCACTCAGGCGGCCTTCAGATCAGATGCTTATCAAATCTAAACACACCTCGGGCTGGCATGGACCATTGCCTCTTCTCATTTTCGTCGCAAAGCAACACGGATCTGAAAAGACAATAATTCGACTAAACTTTAGTGAAGTCCTGAATATGTCTCGCAAGCGTCAAAAATTCAAAGGTGTGGGAAGACAAAAGGATTTAAGATATGATGTCAGTAAATCCCCGCAAACTTGTCAATCACCGCATGCGATTCAAAATCGCCTTTTAGGAAAAATATTTTCTTAAGAACATATATACGGTATAGAAATGAATATGCATAAAATGGTGAATACTGATGTCTTATTTTTTTTTAGTGGAGGCGGAATGGTAACGGGCCATCTGTTTGATGTTGGAATGATGCAGTGGAAGCATATAGATAAAAAAAAAAAAAGGTGTGAAGCAACACTTCTCTTATGTAAAAGAACATTTAAAGAGACGGAAGATTAAAAACAGCTCCGTTTGAGAGGAGCACCTCTTCTTTGTGTCTTGACATTTAAATCAAAGTCACCTAATCTGGAAAATCACCAGAGAAAATGATTTTGCTTCCCATCCAAGCCACCTTGTTAGAAGCACGCTCCAAAAAAAAAGCATGATGTGAAGTGTTGAGCAATTCCTGAACAAGCAAGTGTGATGAGCGAACTGAAACACTGACTTTCCTTCCCAAAGCCAAATAATGTTAGCTTCATGAAAAAAGCTTGATGGAGGCTGGCAAACCGGAAGACTAATGGAAGCATTTGAGTTTAAATACGTCCGTAAAAACTATAAAACTCCATTTTCTTGATCCACTATGGGAGAATTTTTAACAGCGGTTGGAGAAACTCCTTCTGAATGTTCTGATGTTTCATATTGATCAAAAATCATTCTGCCTGAAGAAGCCACGTCATAATGTTGAACGATCCGTGAAAAAAAAGGAAATAGCTCGACTTTTACGTCGCTAAAGTTACGCTGTCGTTCTCTCGACCCCAAACTAGTTTAGATGGAATCAAACGCACTTCATTTTGCTTCAAAATGCAATGAACCAATTCCACAAATTAGCACCTAAAACTCATTCACTCCCAAAGACGTTTTTAAACGTCTTTTCAGACTTGGTCCAGAATTGGCTGGTACTGAATGAGTTAATTGATGAAGTGATGATTACACACGCCATTTCTGGAAAACCCAACATGCATGTTTTTCAGTCACTCGGTTTCCTAACTTATTTTCGTGGCAATTGGAAATATAACAAAGCCTGCCTTTCACTTGCTTCTACTATGTTTGGTCAACGACGATAACGAATCACTTTGATAAACAAAGTCAACAAACAGAAAACAACTTCTTCCTATTAAATCACATTTTCATTCCCCACCTCCATTTTAAAATCCTTATCGTCGGTTATTGTCGTGAGGCTATATTGCTCATCATTATATTGACACAGGCTTGTCAATGAGCGCGGAAAAAAAACAAGCTTGTTAACCTAATCAAATTTATTGACGAGTTTTGCCTCGAGCATTGTGAAAGCCCGCTGCTGGGAAGCAGCTCATTTTCCAACTGCTAAACCTATTTAAGATTAAAACGAGAGACAATTTGTGCCTCCCAAAAGGAGGAACTAATTAGCCAAAGACAAGCACGCTACTTCCTCTCGCTGTTTACAAATCATGTGATGCAGCACATAACTTTTTATAATGCTCGTCAATTTGTTGGTTGCGCAGAATGCGACATAAGTGTAATCACAGAGGTTCAATGGAGGCATTACTGCTCCTCTCTGCCTGGGGGCCGATTTTGTCTGCATTAATTAAGATGTATGATCATCGTCCATGGCAACAAAAAAAGGCTTTCTCCGTGCAAGAAATTGTAATAAGATTTTTTTTTTTCAAATTGCAAATGAGGGAAATTTCCTTGCTTGACGTTTGACGCTAAAACACGAGGATATCATTAGAATGTTAAAAAACTCCTGAAATGGAGCAGAAGCCCGCAGCAGTAGGCACCACCAATCAGACTTGGTTATTTGTTTTCAGCTCGATCAAAAGAGATAATATGAATTGTTAAAATGAGCAGCATTTGCTTTTGAATTATACATGCCGCTGCTTCAAAAGATTTTTTCTTCTATTTAACGTCTTGCAGCAATGTTAAGTTAGCTTTGCACCTGATGCAGAGTATTGTATCGAATATCGGCTTCAAGCTTGTAGTCTGTGACTGGACACAAGTTGGCTCATACCAAATAAGCTGTATTATAAACTCGAGCGATTTGAATGTACACTTTTTGAAGAGATACCGAATGTGAAAGGTGAAATGTTTATTTGCCTATAACTCAGCAAATGGGTATTATACTCAATAAAGGTTCCAAAATGTAAACCTCACATAACAATTTATTGCAGCGGGCCACAGATGTTTTATGCATCTCAGCGGTGGCGAGACGAGAACACTTGAGACCCTTGGGTTTACTGGGACCATACCAGTATAAATCAGAGTATTGGGCAGACGTGATCCCATTTAAAAGAGGTTTTACAATGATTGTAATAATCATATTTCACTCGCTACCGTGAGAAACTCCACATCTACACTGTTGACAGACACACAAGTCAACACCTATTTGACACCAATAAAAAAAAAAAACTGTGAGGACATCATATTGATGAGAATCTGGTATCACCTGGAGGTGTTGTGGAAGGAAATAAATGCATTTAAGAAGCACTATAATGTCAAATAACAGCGCCGGGCTCCCAATGCCCTTGTAATTTGACATGTGCACGTCCAAACCGATTTAGTGGATTCCTCCAATGCCCCTTGGATTAGCAGTGCAATGATAAGAATGGAGAATTGATGCAGAGGACGATACCTGGGGTAGCAAATGCAGCTCCATGTGATCATCAGCCCGTTTTTTTAATTAATGCAATGATCTGGCTCCATAGAAGGAAAACAAGCCACAGCCCAGATATGATGGGAACACATTATGGCAAGCTCGTTAAAATCCAGGTCTCCAACGGTGTCTTAATATATGCAGGATGAGAACATATGACCGGGCAACTAATGCCTTATCATTGTACAGCGCTTTACAAAGCCACTAAATGAATGAAAAAAAAAGAACCCACTGACATATATGCATGTGATCATTAGGGGTTAAAAACACAGCATCGTTTCGTTAGGTTAACTCACCTGCTTTAACAGACGCCGTTACGCGCTCCATCTGTGGACGTCCTCCATTCCCCCCCTCGGTTCGGCGTTCAGACAACAATGGGCTGGAATGAACGAGTTCCCGCGCTTCCCTATCGAACACACATCAGATCTTTCCTCACATCACACATCTCCTGCTTTGCACGGTCTGCGCTGCTGGCTTTGCGCATTCACGACGCCAAGGTCAGGAGCGCCAACGGTTTTAATGGAGCGCCCACTATAGCGATCGCTCTCCACGGCGCCCACTGGCCGCGCGTTGCTAGGCGACCACCGGGATACGCCAGTGCGTTAGATTCATCCTCAAAACAGCGGAGAAAATCCTGATTTAGCAACCATTAACTAAACAACAGTCGGATAGCACTCACGCGCGCCACTCACATTACGTTCCACCTCCCTTTTTTGATCACAAATGAGTCTATATTTGGAAGACTAACACCCCCCTTCCCCCGCCACGCCCCCACCATGCTTTTTAGCTATAAGGAACAAATGCGAGGGAAAAAAAAAACAAGTCCTCCAACAATTTCCTTGTAAATAAGGAATGTGTTTTAAACTAAAATCCACATCTATCCTGTGTCAAAATGGGCAGAGGTCTACAAGCTAAACATGCATTCACTTAATAGGAAAGGAAACAAAAGCCCTTGCAGTGTTGAAGAGCCTTGCAAATTAATGATAGGCGCCAGGCACTGGGCTGCACTCCAGTTTAATAAGCAGATGGGGAGAGAGGGTGAGGTGATATTTGTCAAGACAAAAAAACAGGGCAAGTTTTAAAGTCTCTGTAAAGTGAAAATAAAGGTCTTCGAACTGTGACACAGCACCAAAGCAAAATGTTAAACCTGACAAAAAAGAAAATCATCAAGTAAAGAAAAAGAAGCATAAAAATCTTGAAAAATCATGCTTTTATCTCCGCTCTCAAAAAGTATATTTTCGCTGTTACTTGTTTGCAGGTGTTGAGTTGAGTGTACTTTACTGTGAACCAAGCTAGCAATAGCATTAGCCAAAGGTTTTGGCTCAAGCACTGCCTGCCAGACTTGATTGACTGACTGACTAATAATGATATGTCGGGAGGTGCAAATAAAACAGATTAACGTTCCGGTACACAACCCCCATGACGATACAAAGGTTTACATTGTCTTTGGTATGCATGAAGCATTAAACGCCTACGCATCCCTACATATTTGAGCAATGAAAATACTGTATATCCTTTTTAAAGTTGATGGTGGCTGGAATTTATCCCACCAGGTCGCCGCAGACACTAGCAACTAGCAGTGTCAACTCCCCGCTTGCAAATGTAAATAAACAACTGAGCTGGTCTGTTAATTGTGACATGTAGGGAAGACACATTTTTAAGGTGGGTTTAGCTCGCTAGCTAACTGCACGCTGTAGTGGTAGAACTGGGCCAACTAAGTGGGGCGGCATGGCTCAGTGGTCGTTTCCCAACCCACAGGCTGGTGGCTTGATTTCGACCATGTCGAAGTGTCTTTGAGCAAGATACTGAACCCCCAGTTGCTCCGGATGCTGCGTCATCAGTAGGTGAAAGAGGGAACTGTGTGAAGTGCTTTGAGTGGCAGAGGTAGAAAAGCGCGACCTAAGTGACAGCCCATTTAACTGAAAATAATGAACTCACTTTTGCGCTAGATAACCACTGATGCAAACAAAGACGCTGGATTTTTTTTGTATTGTGGAGGCGGGTGGTCATGCAGGATGCCCAACTGTGACACTGAGTGCCGTTTTAGCCACGCCCACAACATCTGAAAAGCTAAAATGTTGAAAGAGTTTAATGCTATATCGGCACAGTTCAGTATAGTTATCAGTCTTTGCACATGTTTTCAGCAAATACCTTTTATCATGTATTATGTATTTGGAAAGTCTAAGATGGAAGGCTTTTTGGTTCACAGGACTGTACTGACTCCATAATTAATTGTAGCTTAATTGGATTTAGGTTTTGAGCTTTGTCAATTTTCTGGAGAAGTCTCATCATGGAGAAGTGACTCATCACACATATTTTTTTTAACGACATAAAATCCACTGCTATAAATACAGACAGTTGCTTACATATCAAACGCCTCTGGACAATATATGAGTCATATATATACTGGACATAGAAATTGCAGGAGATATTAACCCACTAGGTATTGCCTCTGGTTTCTTAATTTGGCCAGTACCCTTGTGGGGATTGTAGTCCAATACTTTTGAATGAAAAAATATAAATTCAAGACAATGTTTTCTCTTGGGAATGTCCTTCAGACCCGCTTGCACTTACCTGGCTCGAGGGAGGAGCTTCACTGGGGCAAACTCTCGAACACAAGATGGTAAAATGCAACAAAAAGCCTGAATTGTTTTCCACTCTGGGAAAATAAATGCAGCACTTTGCTGAGTTGCACATTCAGCTGGGAGATGACCCAGGAGGAGTCCTGGAATATAATAAAAGGATCAGAAAAGGAGCTTCTCGGGATCCCCCTAGGATATAGTGAGGGAGGATTACCGCGCTGTATTTCCTGACAATGCAGTCCCCATTAACAATTCAATTTACCATTCCAAATCATTCTAATTAAACTAAAGGAATGATAAGGAAGGGTAAAATTAGCAGGAAAAATACAAAAATAATCTCCATGAAAGAAATTTGTTGCAGGCAGGAATTTCAACAAAGGGCAGGTAAAGGAATAATTTTCACTGGTTGAGTCAATAATCAATTGAGCCGTCCACTGACTAGAATGCACAATCAGAATCCCTCCGTCGTTCTCCATTAACTCGATAGTTGCCTGCTGACTTACAAACAGATGGACACAGTGATGGTTGTCTGTGATCAACTGAGTGACATGGTCATTTGCATGGCTTAAAAATAAAATAAGCTTAACGGTGGCCTCCCCTCATGCTTGCAAAATTAGGTTGGAATACTGGAAAGATAATAGACACCAATTAAAGATGCATTTCCAAAATCTGCAGTATGTTTAAAAACAAGTACAAAGATACTTCAAATCAGCACATGCAGCAAATGATTTATTCAAAATGAATACCAAGATTAAAAAAAAAAAAAAAAAACACCAACCATATGTACATTTTCAAAATTAGAAATTCTAACCTGCATTAATTTTCATGCTCGTAAGGCCCTATGAAACATATTTAAAAAGATTATATACAACAAACATCAAACTTTTCTGCAATATCAACACAGAAATGAGTCAAACTATCTGGCGTGTTGCATCCGTGAAAAGCATTGGAACAGAGCATGTTTCCCGATGCATATTTGATAAGAGAAATGAATGCAATTGAAGTGAATCACTGTAGGTGTGAAGTCTGAATTTAAGCAGCAGAACGCAGTTTTTAAAGATCCTTGAAGGGAAGCTGCAACGTAACTTGGCTACCTTCCTAATAAGCATCAGTGTTGTCTTTGAATGCTGGATTCCTTGAGTCTTTTCCAGTTCTCTGCTGCAATGCACAGCATTGCTTTCTTTCAAAGAATGGTTTTACTAGATAACGGCTTACATCCAAGATGCTCTCATGCGTGCCAAAATCTGTAGCTTTTTTTAATTTATATAATAAACCTTGTTCTGTACAGTATGTTAACTACTCTTTTCATTTTAAAATTATTTTGAAATACAGCACAAACTGAATTCTTCTCAATTAGTGGGGCGGTCCCTCTTGGGACGTGGTGGGGTGGGCACATACGGTATAACCCTGGGTAACACTTTTTTTTTTTTTTTTTGCTGTACTAGAATAACGTGTAATCAAATCATTATTTGTCTCGCACTTCATCATGCAACGTGCAACCCAAATTGCTTTACAGTAAAAAACAAAGTATGAAATTGCACATCCGCTACATTAGGTGGCAGTGGTCTGCTCATATACGTGTAAATGTTACCAATAAATGGATTCTTTGTTGTAAGCTGATCTATATATATTTTTTCTCTTTGTTGTATTTAATGTTAATAAGGATACAATGTTCTTCACAGGTGTACTCATACCATTTATATAGACAAATTATTCTATTTATAATCATGGCGGGGAGTTGGGGGTGTGTGTGAAAGGTTTACTTCTCCCTTGGCGGCGGTGGGGGGCGAACTAAAAATAAATAATTGAGTAGCACTGCTACAGTCAAAAGCCCTTGAGGTTAGACACATCGGAATTCAACCATACTTTTTGGTGGAAATAGTGATACAGTATTTGTTGTGACTTGCAAAATTAAGGTGGAGTTAGTGCTTTATACACGTGGATAGTGGTTAGCTTCTTTTTCCACATGGGAGACAAACAAAAATATGAGATGTTTGAGGGCCATCTTTGATACGAATCTTTCCACTGTTATAATTCATCTTGAAGACAACAGTTTTGTTTGTTTTTATCATGATAGTAGTGGTTAACTTACAGTATTGTTTTACACTAGTAGGGATGTTAAAATGTTTCAGTCTGACCCTAAAAACCCTTATTTCTATTTCCGCCAAATCTAAACTAAGAGTCAAACAGATTATGATAGACCATGGGATTTTACACTCTCTGTGGTTGTATTGTCTCACTGACTTCTAAAGGAGATTTGCTGATCGGAAATTTCAATGAACCTCTGTGGAAAATAGGTCAAAGCTAAAGCTGACAGCTGCGGAGAGACATTTAAACACACCGTCTACAAACGAACGAAAGGTGGTGGAATGCAGAATATACTGCCATCTATTCTTTGATTAGATTTCCAGCAGAGGCATAATGAATCCATCACCATTGCAGATGCACACAACACACTTAGATATGTAAAAGTATTTAAAAAAAATGTGAGTTGTTAATTATTAATAGGATTATCATTTTGCTGTCGGGGGTACTGTGACATATTTATGAATGCACCAGAGCCCAAAGTCGAGCTACGTTATCAAAGATCATCAGACGTTGTTAGTAACAAGCTACATTCCATTTATTTAAAGAACTTTTTGGATACATTGTACTCGTCAGAGTACTTTCACAATTGCTTGGGATAACTATCTTGACTCAGCAGTTACTCAGTACTTGAGTATTTTTTTTAATGCTTAAGTAATTATGCAGAAGTATACGGTACATTTTACTTGTACTTGTCATATTTTTCGAAAGTAACAATACTTTCATTTCAGTATAATTTTTTACTTCTCTACCCACCTCTGACTACCAAAATTAACCAGTAAAACTGTACTAATTTCTTACCATGAAATGGTACCCTCTTTTCTTCTTGGCTATGATCATTAGTAGGAAATGTCAAACATACCTGTTCTGAGGAGAATTTGGCAAAGAAGGAATGGCATAGTTAATCACATCGTTAATGGCAATTTAACAGAGCCTCCTCTCCATTGATCATCCCAGTGATACCTGTATTGGAATAATAAACAACTCATGGAATAACGCTTAGGGAAACAAATTGGCTTAGAGTTAGACCTCATAATTCACCTCCCATACAAATATCTGTCATGTGAACACCCTGATAGTCCACAGTAGGCAGCGTCTACTCTAATGGGACACATATTGTCTAGGATTAGGGTAGATTGTAGGATGATTGATATATATGTCTTCACTATGATTTACTCGCCCGTGTTCATTGTCAGCGTGAAACAAATCCCTCTGCCTGTTCGATCAGGATCCCCTGCAGTGCCAGTGACCTCTGCCATCATAACAATTGAATCGTGCCTGTCTGTCAAACTATCTGCCCCGCCCCCTGTGAACATTTTGTGTTTTAGACTCGTGTTAGTTAAACAGTTGTGGCGACACAAAATAAATGATTTGTATACAAGGGGGTGTTAAAAGTGACATGTTGGGAAGTGGGGGTGGGAAAGGTCGTCAGAAGACGTCGACAGCCTTATGAAAGGTTACAAATCCTGCAAGACTAAACTCGGGGTTTAAACGTAAAAATTCTTTCATTAATCGCAAGCCCACAATGCACTGCGCGAAGTGGCGTTATTATTGAATGTATCGTCTAATTTACAACGGTGCCTATTTAGAAGTGATTATTTTTATGTATGTTTATTGCAAAGACTAGATTCTAGATTGTTAGCTAGCTAGCTATAGAGAATAGCAGGAGTGGTGAAACAGAGGACCCAGTGGCTCAAACAACGACAAATATGTGCTTGAAAACAACTTAAACTGAATGGATTGCTTCCTGGAAGATCATTTACTCCACTGAAAATGGACGGGTATAATCGTGGGAAAGAAAAGCTTAACATACCAACCGATTTTACATCACCAAATAGTTCTCGTAAGTTGTTTTTAGATGCTAGTCTGTCATATGCATTGTGGCTTCGCACACAGTAGCTATAACGACGTACTTTGAATGGCACTGTAGTAGTTGTTCACCGCACTAGTTCGTAAACTCTTAAGTGAATATTTATTTATTTCGGGATATTCTCTACATCTAAAATGTGTCGTGTCATATTTTACGTTAGTGTGCTAGGAGGTTTTAGTGTAAAATATGAGCCCCTGCTGAATAAAGGTTGTGTAAACACCGAGTACACAATACATATACACACGCACACACGCATTTCACAACAATCCCCATTGGTCATGTATACATGCCCTCGAGTGACAAGTACAATTGGAACTACTTGATGGTTGTCTCACCATAGCCATAGATTAAGTACTTATCCCTTAGCATTCACATGCATAATTTACATTTTTTGTCATGTTATACAGGGAAACCCCAAGATGACCTTGTACCTCCCTCTCATTTTGCATCAAGTGCCCATGCTGCTACATTGGCCACAGGCACACAGCCATGCATTTCTTGGATGAAACCGAGTGTCCCCGCAGCTCCACCAAAGGATCCCTGGCTTGGTGGTACTAACACCCAGCGAGAAATATTAACACAGAGAAAGGAAAATCAATCCGCCGTGATGCTGCAAGGACACAACACAAGAGGAAGGACTCCAGAGGAAAATGTGTCAGACTTGAGGACGAGGTATTCTACAGTATGATTTATTTGGTCAAAAATACCATCAGCTGGGGGGCTTGGTAGATACACAAATAGCTCCCATTTGCTCAAACACAGATCCAGAGAGAGAGGCGACCAGTGGTCCAGATGGGAAGAAGAGTGGTGTCTGGAGGCAGAAAAGCACAAAGCGGAGGCTGAGCGGTTGAAGGAGCAGATGGAGGCCCTGAAGGACACTGTGCAGAGATATAGGGAAGAGATTAGAGTCAAAAACGACACCATAAGCAGGTAGCAAATGGGTCTACATATTCCTGAGATTAATCTTGGATACTCTTCATTAAAACGGTATAATTGTTGTACATCAGGCAATGTCATGACCTGGAGACAATGAATCGAGAATTGAGAAATGTGAGGTCTGAGCAGAGCCATCTGAAGGAGGAGCTCATTCACTGCCATGGACAGAAGGAAAAAATAAGCTCACAGGTAGCTGTATCACAAGCAAACATTTAATTTCGACTGTACTGTTTGTTTCCTGTGATCACCTGGGATGAACTGACATTTCACCTCCTCATGTTATAGCTTATAAGTTTTTGTTTTCTCCTCGATTTTATTTACATTTTGAAGATGGTAGACATTTTGCACTTGTGTTTTACAGCTAGAAAGATTTAAGAAAGAGTCTGATGAGGAACTGGCTAAAATGAGGAGTGAAGGGGAAGCTCGGGAGCTCACCCTTAAGGCCAAAATGAGTGAGCAGCAAGCAGAGGAGGCCAGAGAACAGTCTTTTAAAATGACGGAAAAAATGCAGCAGATGCAGAAGAAGCAAGAGGAAGAGGTATTTGCCAAATCCTAAACTAGGCAACTATATATGAGATGACCCATTTCATCCGATGTCTCCCACCGTTTACATTTTCAATTTCTCCTCATCAGCTGCGACAGTTGAACGCCGACCACTGTGTGGAATTATGCACAGCCCGAAAATCAAATCATGAACTGCAGAGTAAACTTCAGTCAGTGACGCGAGAAGTGCTGCAGCTGAAAAGCAATCTCATGGAGGCATCTGCAGACAGAGATGAGTTGAAAGAACATTTAAGGTTCCACATTGAATCCAACCGGAGCGATAGAAAATGAATTCAACATTGTTGATAAGACGAGTGAACACATTTGTTGGTTGTGATTTTTTTTTTTCCAGACAAATGGAACAAGCATACGAGACACAATCAGCAACTCTGCACACTCTCCGAAA